TTGGAAGGATTTGGTTTTGGGTTTGTAGCAGGGGCTATAATTGTTCTGCAGACTGGTGATGAGCACCTGCTTCATAGCATTTGCCTAGAGATTGATCATACTATTTCTTTAGGTAGTCTTTTTGAAAACTGAGCTCTAATAATGATAGGTGAAACCTTGAATAGTGTTTAAAGCAAGACTTTGTGTTCTGTTTGTAGACGCTATAGTCTTGTATAGTAAATTATTCAGATGAACAGCTTACCTGCATATTTCTTTGAATACCTGGATAAATCTTTCAGTTAGTATTCTATCATATGGATTATGGCGAGCTATTGATGAGTGTTGGGCAACTGAAACTCAGAATGTGAGCTACATTCTATTGTCAAATCTAATCCGTTCAAGACCTTCTAAGTAGGCAATCTTAAACCTGTCACATCTGTACTCGTGTATTTGAATTTATTTAAAATACATAAGACCACTCTGCAAGGAACATTGACCCATTGTTAAAACAAATTCTGTAGATTTACTACCATGGGCTATTTGACAGCTTCCCCCAGGTGTAAAGGGAACATTTTTATGCATGTGCTGACAACCTTAACCTTGTTTTGCTGGTTTCACATTTTCTGCATCCATCCTTGGCTACTCCTGTACACAGTTGCTTGCAACATTTCTTTTATTATTATTTTCACCTGAACGTTCTGTAGGAATTATAATTCTTTAAGAATGACAGAGGTAATTCACATAAAGCAGTAGCTTGTGGTAGATGCTCTACTGTGCTCTACTGATCTTAGCTTTACTAGGGAAGCATCTCAGTTTTGGGGATGAAACCAAATTACAGGTTGGTAACAATGGGGATTCTCAGATAAATCTGTACTTAATGCCATTTATCAGCTGTAAAAGTGTGCTTAACTGTTTCCAACTTCATGAAAAAAAATGGGTGTTTGCCTACAAATCACTCATTAGTACTTCTGTTAGTACTATATTACTTTTAGCTTTGGTGCTAAAACTTTTATTTTTGCTGTGTAGAACATCTATCTCCAATTACACTTCAATGGATTTGTTACCAATAACTTCTAAAATGTGTGACAGATGTTTCGCGTATAACCAACCAGACTGTTGTCAGAGGGAGGTATAATGCTATGTTGTTATGGAGTGCTTACAGAAAAAAAAAGTCTTTAATTTATCTATCTTGTAGTTTGTTAAAATAGGGCCATGCCATGAATAAAACTAGGACCAATTCAGAATTGTTGCAGGATATATTAATGCTTTTATTCTGCTGAAGATGTGAAAATTGGAAGGGCTTGTTGAAACCACTATTTGAGATTTTCACCCTACCTCTTCTGATTTCCAGGCACCATATTATGGCGGTGGAGGTGGTGTCGGTCCTTTCCATGTGTCTTCCAGAGGACAATATGAACACTATCATGCTATTTTTGACCAGATGCAACAGCAAAAGGAAAACATTAGAGTAGCTGAAGAGAGGGAAGCCAAATTGAGGGCGAAAGTACAAGGCCGAGAAGTTGTTGAAAGGTATGGCTACCTTCCATTAGAAGCTGCACGTGGTTTGCTTTAGATGAAAGTAATGAAAGTTACTGTACATATTTATCTACAGAGGAATTCCACCTGGAATACGTCCAGGAGTTCCTAAGGGGCCTGCAGGTCATCTCCATTCACCTGATGCTGGTGCAGTTAGGAAAAAAATGAAAAGATTGAAGGAGGTGTCTAAACAAGCCAATGCAAACAGGTTGGACAATGATAATCCATAAATCTGTCCCTACATGTTAGATTCTTGTTCTGTGTCTTGTTTCAGTTAGTAGTTGGACATGTCTCAAAATCACTTTTATCCATTGGTACTGTGCTGTCTGTTTGTGTGTTAGTCCCTTGCAGACCACGATTCTTTTAGAACCAATGGAAACCTTGGCTTCCCTGATAGTGGAAAATATGGATTGCCAACAATTGTAAATAAATAGATTTCAGCCAAAATTCTTGGCTTAATGCAGTTGCAGATAACATAATCCTCCTCCTTTGCTTTTTTCATAGTTCCACTTTTTGTGTTACCTGCCAAGATGCTTCCTTCTCCTGTCATGTCATTCTGACTGCCTTCTCTATATCTAAGTGTTGGACTCTAGCATAGGAGGGTGTGTAGAATGCTCCCACAATTGCTAGCTCCTGTTTATCCATCAGTGGAAAACTTCTAGGAGCTTTCTTCGTCAAGATGCAAATGCCAGGTGTTATAATGGTGTGCAGCTTCTAATTCAGTGATGCTTATTCTTTGTAATTACTATAAACTGAGTATTTTATATATAAAGGATTGTAGACAAGTATGGATTATTTTTTTAATGATTTCACTCTTTCAAGTAGCTTCTTCAAAACTTCTTTGCTCTCCTTCAGATCTGTTCATATTGCCCAAAGAACTGCGTCTGCACTCGTGAGCAGTAAATGGGGAAAATATCTTTTTTTTTTCTAGAAGTTTAGTATTTGAGTGTTACTAACTAATTTTCCTAGAGGGACAAATTTTATCATGCATCATTTAAACTTCTGCAGATTCAACGTTGTATCCCATGGAGGAAGAAATAAATGGAGTTAATGTGAGGAAAAAAGTCACAAAAGAAAATGTTTGTTCTTCTAACGTAATTTTATTCAGGTTTATGTTTTAATAGAATACATTTTGCCTCTGTAGATTTTTTCTGTTTTAAAATTTGCAGCAATAATGTAACACGTGTTAACACTGATGTTACAATTTGCAAGCTACAAGGTATATTTTATTTTCTTTATAGTAATTTGGGCTGTTGTGAGCTAATTAAAATTCCTCCTGGTACAACCCAGTACTGGAAGTTGTATTTTCCTAGCTGATGTAGATGTGTATTTCCATCCTCCTCTATTTATTCTTAATTCTTTGCACGAAGTGCCACAATCCCCCAAACTTGCCTAGATTAGGAAACACTGTTTGCCTTGCCCATTTGACAATATTAGATAATATTTGGTTATACCTGGGTAAACTATTTTAAATGTGTTCAAATTGAGAGGAACTATAGTAGGGGGCTGCAAATTATGAATAGTGTGCAGATCATGAAGAGAAGCTGATTCAGTATTTCTCAAATATATGAAATTGGAAGCACTCAATGAAAATACTCTGCAAAAGTTTCAAAACATGTGGAGATTTCTTTTTTCTATTTGTAAACTGGACTACCTTTAGCCTTAATTGAGGTGCTGTTTCTTAGCATTTAAAGTGTGATAAGTATTTGTACTTTATTATTTAGAAGCAATTTTATTATCATAGCTAGCCAAGCAATATTTCTCTCCTGCACTTTATTATTTCAGCTGGAGGTGAAATATAAAGATGAGTGTTCAATGTTTAGCTCAACCAAAGAATTGAAATAACTGCAACTTTCTTTAAGATAAGTAATTTAGACTGTATGTTAAAGAAGTTGAGAATTCTTAAGCTGCAAACTTTCTGATTACACTATCACAACTGATGTAAAGCTTAGTATATTCAACATCAACAATCTTTAAAAATTGTCTCTTGGACAGAAATGCAGCCTAGAAGAAATCTAGTTGAAACGTTTTAGCAAAACGAGTCATTCGGCTTTAGAGTAGGGAAAACCATTTTCATAAGATTTAGTTGAAATAAGTCTTTCCTGTGAATTTGGTGGAGACACATAGGTTTGGGGTTCTTTTTGTTTGGGGAAATGCCTCTCTTTCAACACTGTAAGCTAAACTTCAGCTACACGACACAGGTTTGAACAGATTTTGCTATTCACCAATTGAGTTCATATGTAATGAACAGTTACGGTAAAAATCTTGCAGTGAGTCAAATATGCATATACAAAGATTATCAAGTGTTTGTTTCTTTATCAGTAACACCTACATGGATCATCTTGCCTTCTTGGAGCAGCTACCGTGTTCCTTTTATTTGTATCAAAGTAGTTTTATCTTCATCTTCCTCTTAATGAATTGTAGCATATGGAAATATTTCATTTCCTTCTTGCTTGGGGAGGGGTGGGGGGCAAGGAGAGAGAAAAAACAAGATGCAAGGGTGTTTAATTAGTGTGCTAATTCATTTATGAATTACTAGCAATAGCTCCTGTGTTGCAGAATGATTCTTTCTTTAACTGTCTCAGCCTGATGGGTTATTGCTATCAGCTTATGCCAATTTCTTCTTGTCTGTTGCTGGACCCCAACAGTTTGTTTGTGTTTTTTTTGAATAGAAGACTTCCTCTGAGTCCACTTCTAACCAATTTGTCAGAAACTGGTTCTTCTACAAAATGGTTGTATGTATATACTAGGAGACTTGCCAGATGCTCAGTTATGGTAACTTGAACAGAGCCGCCTTGTCTACCCAAGCAGGTCCCTGACCTGGGGTGGGACATGTGGAAAACCCCATCTAGTTCTGGCTACTTTTAAGGTATGAAAATTCCTTCACAGTCCCTTTAAAATCAAACAAAAATCCCCCAAGATCCCCCCAAAGGAGTTGCCAGAACATTCTGAGAATACTAGCACTGTACTACTAATCGAAGTGGTAGAACGTCTTACTCCAAACAAAGGTCAGTCTTGCAAGACTGCTGCAATATTGACTTTACTGACTGGCTCATGTGATGGGTTCTTGCTCATCTCTGAAGGGAAACTTTGAAGGATTCTTCTTTTTCACAAGTGATAACAATAATGAAACAAGCTGAGACATTTTCAGAAATTATCACACTAAGATTGTGTTTTGACATTCATTTTTGTTTTGATGACCAGGATCTGGAAGGACAACGTGGTGGTTTGGGTTTTTGTTTGTGTGTTGTTTTTTGTTGTTTTTTTTTTTAATTGTTCTTTTAACTTAGTTGAGGCTTTTTTCCTCCATTTTGTGGAAGTCTGACTTGTATTTTGGCTGATGAAAGGCATTTTTTGAAGATGCCTTACTTATAGAAAGTTACTTTTTTTTGTGTGTGTCCTAGTTAGAATAAAGATGGGTGTTTTTTGAGTGTCATATTTCGGAGACTTTCATCTTGCTATGTGTTGCAATTACTCAGGCAAAAAGGATGGATAGCTGCAGATAGAGCAAAGCAAGTTGAAGAATTCTGGCAACGGAAGAGAGAAGCCATGGAAAACAAAGCTCGAGCTGAGGGACACATGGTATGGAATCTGGTCTTCCTAAGTATGTTACTGTTGCAGCGTGCTTTATGAATCTTTGAAGTAGCATCATAAGCATGAAATGCTGGCTAAATATTTTCCTTAGGTATTTTTTTTTTAAAAAAAAGGTGAATGGGACGTAGGTGTTCTTGCATTTTGTTATATTTTATAAAAATGTATCAGAATTGTGCAATACATTTCTCATGACTATAAATTTATAAACAAAGGTAAATATCTTTTTTGCATGTGTCTAACTTGATATTGTGAATTTTAGAACATTCATTTACATGTTTTTCTGTTCATAGCTTTAAAGTTTTTGTTGAAATTAAACTTTTTGTATTATTTGGTAGCTTGAACGTAATATGAAGTTTGATTAAACTGATACAGGTAATGATCAGATACAGTAATGTGTTTTACAAAAACACATTCTGCTTATTTAGAAGGTATTATACAGACATCTATCTCTGGCAAGGTTGATGTTTCTAAAATCTTTCTTCTTTAGAGATTAACTAGCGGATAGCGTCACAAAATGTTCTTTGCTCTTTATGCTTGCAGTTCTAAATTCAGTATACCTTTAGGAAGTTTGTCTTGCAGTAAAGATATCTTGGAAATTACTTATTCACACTAGGACTTTGTGTGGTTCAACTGTGTGTTTTCCTGATACGGGTAGTTTTGCTTTTTGAGTGCTTCTCCACACTATTCATATACAACCAAGGCCCAATATCACTGTCGGCTGCTGAAATTAAACTGACAGTGCTGGCATTGCAGTGAAATGAGGCCAACTGCAGAAGCATCTCCTGAGTTATCTGAATATCAGATCATGATTTACAGCCAGGTTGTGTTTTTTAAGGGATTATTTCACTTAGAGTAAGCAATTAATAGATATTTTTATTCACTGCTTTGATGGTGTAGTATCCTTAGATTAGTATATATGTCTTAAGGCATGAGTCTTCCACTTTAAAACTATGGTTCTGGTGTTTTTAAAACCTCCAAGACCAGTAAATAGTTTTGAAAAAATGGACAATTCTTGTTAAGACTGCCTCTCCTTAGATAAGTCCTTAGTAGTGCCTGCTTCCATTTTGTTCTTGACTTTGGCATTAATATAAATGTATGATATAATTAATGCAAGATACCCAAGTGTTCAGGTTAATGTTTCTCTAATGTATTCAACTGAGCCCAAATGTTTCATTCTTAACTGGCTACCGTAATAGAACAGGGAGGTTACGGAACAGTTGTAAAAGTGACTTGTAGATGTTTAAGACTTAAAACTCAAAGCCAGGGTTCCAAATTCACGTACTATCATTTGCCATTGATAGCAGAAGTTCTCAGCAGCTTCATTCCATTGGTACAGGAAAATAATTTGACTAGCTGGCAGCAGTTCTCATATAGGGGTGGGACTATTGTCCAGACCATGATGATCTGAGAGGAGAAATCAGTAGGTATCATCAACTAATATGCAGCTCTTTGCTGTTTAAAGACTTGTAAGTCAAATGACTCTCACTAATTTAACCAGATTCTGTTAAATATAGTTGCTGCCAATTTTAATTTTCAAGTGACGGTCTAAAGTTTGACTCAGTAGGTGAGATGATGAGATACTTTGAGTCATCTCTTCTTGAAGACAGCTGCTGACCTAATTTGCTTCTTAGCTGTTGCTGTGTGGCATTGCAAAACATTGAGTCCTGGTCTTTGAAAATTTTAATGTAAGCAGATGAGTGAAAGTTAACAACCTACAGAAAGAAAATCAGTTCTCAAAAAATCTTGCTTCCAGTTTCTTTCTTGTTTAAGAGCAGTGATATAAATCTCCATCAGTTTGAAAATACTTAAACTAACTTGAAAGCTAGAACGAAGAACAATGAGATGACTTGAATAGTGCCTGTTAGCTTTGTAAAGTTTAGGTTAAAAATAAAACCAAATATTTTCTGAAAAGGTGAATATGGAAAATATTAATTTCCATTTTGTATGACTTAATGCTCAAGCTGAAACCAGAATTCATGGAGTCCTCGTGAACGTATGCCATTTCTTATACACAGGATGGTTCCTTTAATTTGTTCTCTGGTCCCTCAGTCACTAAACCCCAGAAGTGCAGAAATGTGCTGTTTCCTTGAGTTACTCATTTTTGTGTTCAATCTGAGAGAGTATTTAGCCAGAATACTTGGATTCAGTCCTCCCAATCAAGAGCTTGACTGGTGTATTTACTTACCGATGGTTCTCTACACTCAGGCTTGAGAAAGCTAAAGCCCTGGTATTTTATAAGGCAGAAGGTCTAAGTAACTATCACATGTATATACTAACTGTCTCTATTGAATGTTGAGTTAACAAATCAAGATATTTTTAACTTGTTCAGCAGAGGTTTATCATGAACAAAATAATTTAAATACTGTGGATTTTAATCTAAGCAGGAAACCTGGATTTAAAAGATTCTTGTACTGTTTTGTATTGGACTTCCTTAAAGGTTGAATCCTTCTGGTGACAGTTAGGACACTCACCACACATATACTCATCACACTAACCAAGACTATACACTGTGAATGAAGTATTTTATTAGGTTTTTGAGTTTGCTACTTGTATATTTAAAAAAAAGGTCATCATTGTGGAAAAAGCTTAATTTAAGAACTTACAAAGATTCCACTTTTATTTTAGGCTTGGCTCAACAGTGGCAGAGATGCCAACTGAATGCCACAACTTGGATATAATCCAGATGTAGAAGAACTCATGCCCCTCAGAATTTAGGCTTTTGAACACAGCAGAAGATCAGAATTGCAGGGAGAATGCAACTGTATTCTTCAAGCTCTAGTCTCTCTTTTGGCTACTCAGGATTTTTAGTTACTAGTCATGTGTTTCATGGAAGTGAAAAGGGGTTATTGGTTAACTTCAGAACAACTGCAGTTCATTGATGGATTTGGTTTCTTTGTAAGTGAACAGTTATTGGATAAAGCAGATAATTTTACTGCCCCAGCCACCTGAAATTTGATACCATTAAATGGCAAACAGGGTACACTGCAAAACGTGGCAGATATCTATGGAGGCAGGCCCATTTCTGCAAGAGGAAGGAAATCCAGAAACAAGGAGGAAGAGGTATGATTGCCGCATGTTTGCCACTTCACTCATCACACAAACAGCACTATTCTGACCCTGACTGTGCCTATTTTCCCTGCATGGTTCATCTGTGTAACAAAATAAAAGGACTTTATAAATTCCCAGGAAATAATTTACTGTATAAAGTTCTAGAATTTGGGTGTGTTTGGTTTTGTTTTTATTAATAATCAAATAATAGTTGTCTACAACAGTCGGTCTCAAAGAGGTTCTTGAATGTGCATACATATAGATATGAACTCAGTATATCTTAATCCTGTTGTGGGAAATATAACCATTCCTAGCTTTCAGTGATATAAAAATGCAATGGTACCTTAATACTGAGAAACATACATTCCAGTTTCCTTTATTTTCATTAGATGAGAGCTTTTCCTGGAGATTAGTAAATGCTAATATGGTGATAGTAATAGGGATAATAATTGGGATTTTTTTTTTACCCATCTTTTTTTTTTTGTGTGGAATCTTACATATTTTAAGTTAACTATACTGGAGACAGTTTCGGTATAACTGAAACTTATTTCCTTTCTTTGCCTTAGGAATATTTGGCAAGATTGAGACAGATCCGGCTACAAAACTTTAATGAACGTCAACAGATTAGAGCAAAACTTCGTGGAGAGAAGGTTTGTTTGAAAAATATTCTTAAATACTTACAAAAGTTGGCTGTGAGATGTATTCTTTTATCCCTGCGGGAAGACTTGTCTCATAGGCAGTGTTATGGATAGACACACATTTTTGACATTTTCTGTTCCACAGTTAGTGTACTTCTGTCTCTTCTTCCAGAATATGCAAAATCTGTTTGTTATTTCAGTGCTGGGGGTGCAGCTTCAGTGTCTGTAAACTAAAAATGTTTTAAAAACAAGCCAACATAAAGTTACATCTGAATTTATATTTATTTGCTTTTAGTTATAGGAACTTCTCCAGAATTAACGTTTTAACAGTGCTCATGCAGAATACATACGAAGCAATTCTTTTAGTACATTTTGTAGGTGTGTATCGAAGTTAGACGTTCCTGGCATGAGCTCAATTTAATCACTACACTTTTTTGCAAACAGTGTTTTTCTGAAATATGTTTGTCATACAACAAAAACAAAACGTGTTCATAAAGTAGGTTAAGAACAAACACTTCTTTAAGTGTCAAATGGCTAATCCAAGGCACCCTTGGAAGCAATCCATTTACTTGCTTAAAAAAAGTTTCATTTGCAAGGCAACCTATTTAGTAAACATGGTCTGGAGTTTGTTTACATCTTTTATTACCCTACTGTGTGATCTTGTGCTCCTGAGTCGTCATCTTCTTCCTGTCCATTTGTCTTGACAGATTGTTTGGATTTCCTCAAGTGATTACCTCTTTATATATAAACATTGTCCTTTGTGATTTAAAAGAGAAATGTTCCTGCCTCACCCCTGCCTTTAAGCACCCATATTAAGTGCTTTCATGCATCTTATGTATAGTGAGTGGACAGATAGGGCAAGACTGTACCCAGTACCACTCACTTTCTTTGGACCACTGTCCCAGCTGAACAGAGTTCTGCATTGCTATAGGTTTTGGGATGGTTTGTTGTTTGGGTTTTTTTTTTTACAGCTAAAATATTCTATTTTTTCCTGGATTAGTGACTTCTTTTGAGTTGTTTTCTTTATTTTCTTTAACTTTAATTGCATCTCACTGGTGAGATGAAAGAGAGCCAAATTCAATCTCTTGATTAAGGCACAAAATTTCTTTAGTGCGTTGAAGAGGAACCCATGCCCCTTTAAATCTAAAAGCAATGATTGTAGAATCATTGGGCAGGGACACCTTCCACTAGACCAGGTTGCTCAAAGCTTCATCTGACCTGGCCTTGAACACTTCCAGGGATGGGGCATCCACAGCTTAACTAGTCAACCTATTCCAATAAGTAAAGAAAAGCCCTCAAAAGTAAAGAAATTCTTCTTACCATTTAGCCTAAATTGACCATCTCTTCAGTTTAAAGCCATTACCCCTTGTCCTGTCACTATCTGCCATCCCCATCTTTCCTGTAGGCCCCCTTTATGTATTGGAAGGCTGCTATAAGGGGTCCCAGAGCCTTCTCTTCTCCAGGCTGAACAACCCCAACTCTCAGCCTGTCCTCATAGGAGAGGTGCTCCAGCCCTCTGATCATCTTTGCGGCCCTCCTCTGGACTCACTGGCCCCTTGCTCTGGAGAGAGCAAAACTTATTTGAGTTTCTACCTGAGAAGGGTATACAAAATTTGCAAGATGTGTGAGTGGCGAAGGGACCAATGTGGGCCGTTCTCCTAAGTTTGTCTTAAGCAGCAAGAGGAAAATCAAGGTCTTGTGAGTTTATGAAGTTACTGTAGACGCTGATCAGTGAAGTTATCACTAGTGGTGACTCAAATAAAATGTGAAGCTGATGTATCACAAGCACACATTGTCTTAATTGCATGTGGTGCTAGATTCACTCATAACTCTGTCTCCTCTGCTGTTTTGGACAAGCTTCAAAACTGCTGCAGTGGGACTAGTTATCTCTCTACACAGCCCTATGAAATCTTCCTGTGGCTCATGAGTACCCTTAGAATACTGACGGCAGTGGTAAAATGTTACCAGTATAGAGCCATTGCTGTACCGCACTGTTTGTTTTTTTTTTTTTTACTAAGAAGCTGCAATATGTTCTGTCAAGATTGGGAGCACCCACACTCTACTTGCAGTATGATTAACTGCGGAAGTAAAGGTACTCTCCAGAAACCTTTTCTCTGGAGGCCAAGGCTGCTTGCGCTAGGAAAATCAAACAAGAGTACTGTTACCGTGATCATGACGTTAATTCTCTGTATGGGTTATTAGGCATGTCAGGAACCGAACTTCCTTTCCCAGTGCCTGTACCTTGTCTTGTGTGTCCCAAAAGGTATGCCACCTATGAAGGAACAGAGAATAGATTAGTATCTTTCCAGGAAGTAGGCCTAAACTAATTTTCAGAATTCAGAGACCAAATTCAAGAGGTTTTTTTTCTTGATGACCTGCAGAGGCAAACTTCAGCGTAGAGGCTTACTTCTAGAGGAACACCATCTCAGACCAAATCTTGTCATAGATACGTTTATTTCCTTATGTTGATTAGCAATTTTATATCTATTGCTACTGCATAGTATCCTATGATAGATATAGATAAATATATGCATTCATTCCTTTGCCTATGAAAGGTGCCAAATTATTTTTCTGAAGTTTCTCTGTCTACAGTGTTCTTTCCAGTCATCTTTTTTTCCTGTTAGCTGACTGAAGCTAAGGTGGGCATGACCTTTTTTTTTATCTATTTTCACTTAAAAATTTACCTAAAATTTTTGCTTGTGTTTTGCCAAATTATTTCCAATACTCTTTTTCTTGTACTGCAAGAAGCGTACTAAATAAGCTTTCTGAATAGTTTATTTTAAATAAAAGGTCCACACAAGTTGGTCATGAGCAATAAAAGACTCCTGTCAGAACTCTTTGTGTAGCTTTGTCAGTCTGTTCTGTAAATAAGAACACGCGGAGGCAGTGGAAAGAAGTAAGAGAGACTTCAGAGTTAAACTTTGTATGTTCTTACTTGTTACCATTTTCCCCCCTCACCCATTCCACCTTCCCTGGAGCACATACAGTGGAAGAAACTGGAATTCCAGAGCTTCAGACCTTTCTTGTGTACCTTACCTGCAGAGCATGCAACAGTGATGAGGGGTGGCAGTTGAGAGCCCTGTATCGTTAGGTCACTGCTTTTGCAACAGTAGGCGTGTTACTTTCTTACCAGTTTGTAAAAGCTTCATATCTTTTAAAACCAACAAAACCCTCCACAATCTCAAAGATGAAGTTCAGTCCAAGTAGGCATTACATTTGAGTGAGGAGTTACCTTGTGAAATTATGACCCGTGTTACTTATACAGTCTGTCAAAATGATCCAAGCAGTCACTTAATATCACTCAACTCATGAATTAATGATAATTCTTTGAGGACTCTTACTTTGCAGAATGAAGCTGCCAGTTCTGATGGGCAGGAATCAAGCGAGGAAGCAGAACTGAAACGCAAAAAGATAGAAGCGCAGAAGGTAATTGTGGGGAGAGAGAGGATGGAACTTACTATTTTCACATTTGTTTTGTATCTCACGAAGTTTTTTATATTTCATTTTGCTATCAATAGTTTGTTCATACATCCACTACAAGAGGTTTTTATTTTAACTGTGTTGAGGTAACAACTCTGTTCAACTGTTTTATCTCAACAATTTTAAAATATGTTGTGACATAGCATAGTAAGTCAAGGATTTTTTCCATCCCTGCCTTTGAGATTTTTCTCTAGGTTAGCTTTAGTCCTAAAGGCAATTTGGTATAACTGGAATAGCTTTTTGATACTGAAAGGGAAAGGAAGAAGTGCCTTAAATAATAACAGCTTTATTTTAGTTAAAAGAATAAAGGAGAGCAAAACTCCTTACATGTGCTGACATGCGCTACGTGTGGATTGGAAGGTGAGCTATATACCCCTGTGATGAAGTACATCTAAAGCAAATGTGTTTCACAGAAATCCAATGTTTGATCAGAACTTTATTCCCTGTGGTGTTCCTATATCAATAACTATCTCTACCATATGAAATCCAGCAAGTATTGCTCTGTCTATTCTATGATTTTTTTCCCCATCATCTGCAAAGAGCAATGTCTTAAAAAAAAAGCTAACCTTATGCCTTACTTTAAAACTAGAGGTGGAACAGCAACTGAAGCTTCTTGTGTTTATGCTGAGTAAGTATGTAAAGTTTAAACTGAATATTTAATATTTTATGATTAATGCATTTGGCTTCAAAACTAATTTTAAATGGAGAATCTAATTTTAAATGACTTTGTTTAATATTACTACGTACACTAAAAATATAACCATGGAAATCAAGAACTGTAATTAAATTTTGAGGAGTTGCCATTATTTCAATGTAGAAGATCAGTTGTTGTATTTGTGTGGCGATTTTGATTTGTCGGTGGAGTCCTCCCGTCACAGTCTATACAGTAATAAGTGAGAGAAAGCAAGACGAAGTAATCCAAGAGTGTTTCTTTTTAAAATGTTCCACAGAATGGGGTACTAATGCTTTTTATGATTTTAAGTTGGTCTTTTTTGCTTGTTTGTTTATTACAGGCCCAAGCAAATGCCCGAGCTGCAGTTCTGAAAGAACAGTTAGAGCGAAAGAGAAAGGAAGCATACGAAAGAGAGAAGAGAGCCTGGGAAGAACATGTAAGAAAATAAATCTTACTACACACAGTAAAAGTATGTAGTGCCATATCTTTGTGTAACCAAAATCTTATACTGTGATTTTTCAAGCTTAGATAATTAGTTTGTCTTCCAAAACTGAGGACAGTGTCTGTCAGTCAGAATTCCCTCATTAGAAGCTTAATCTTGGGCATACTTGAATGAAGAATTTGGTTCAAGGATTTAATAACATCAACCCTAAGAATCATTAGGATTACCTTAAGCATTTTATTAATGATCTGTAATTTATGAAAGTGTACTTAATCTACTTTTGCTTCTGTGTGTTGTGGAGTGAGAAGTCCAGCTGGTAAAACATTACTACAAAAACCAGGTTGTTGTGAAACTGATAAACTGATTCTCATGTGCAGTTGGCAGTTGTCTTCTGTATGAAAATGTAGGGCATTATTGTCCTTTTTTTAAGGTTTACATGAGACTATTTGATACTGTGTTTAATGTGCAAAGTCTTGAAGTTAATTTATTGATTTAAAATTTTTAATTGAATCCATACAGCTGATAGCGAAAGGCGTAAAGAATCCGAATGTGCCTTTTCATGTGGGAGCTACAGAACAGAGTCCTGTGCATGGACTACAAGAGCTTGGAGCGGCTCTTCTTAAGCCACAACTTCCAGTGAAGCCTGGTACACCAGTTATCTCCATGACTTCTGCTCTGAAGGAAGTGGGTGTGGTAGGTACTTTAGCTAAGAGGGTAAAATTAATGGGGGGAAAAAACCCAAACTGATTTGAAAAAGAATTTTTAGACCAATGTGTAGATTAGGTGGGGGAAAAAAAAAATCATTAAGGATACTTGTTGCTTCTAATTGGGGGAAAGAAGAAAAAATGTAAAAAGAAACCAAAACTTGAAAGCTGTTGAAATACGTGTGTACACTGAAACTCAAATTCAATCAGTTTTGAACGAAATAGCTTATTTGTGATGAGCCTTAGGGTGCAATTTCGGTTTTGATCAATGCAGTCATGATTAGTGCAAGAAGATATCAACTAACCAGCATTTTCATCAGCCTCTTGAAGAGTGGAGTTGAGGAGTTTGTAACCTGGTGGAAGTGAGATAATAAACTTTGAATGATAGGACTTTTTTGTATTAATCCTTGTTTTCAGTGAGTTTGAAAATATGTGCTGATTATAACACAGAATATAAAGTTTGAGACTTGAATCTGATAGCGTCGTCTCTTCTTGTCATCTAAAACAGTGTTAGAGACTTCCCAATCTCTGTTTTCTGTGATCTGGGGTCCTGATATTGCAAATGCTTACACATTTAACTCAACTATCACCATTTGATTTAAGTAATAATTGTGAAACTGAATGTACAAGTGAGTGTTTGTACAATTTGAGTTTTTAACACAATCTGTGTTAATTTGAATGCTAACTTTTGGGTTTTTACCTAACCTATTTTTAGATTTCAGTGTAGTGTGGGATTGTATGCTATATAGAACCTGGAGGCTATGACTATGGGAACACAGTGAGACTTAGTGCTAAATACTGTATATAAAATGTGATACACTGAAAGGTGCCAGTTGATAGCTGGAAAGATGTCAGTTGATAGCAAATCATGTTTTGACAGATACTTAAATCATTAGCACATTTTTCTCCCTGTGAATAGTTTGTCTTACGGTAATGCGAGATGGTGGCTATAACCGACTAAAAATTAGCACACAGAGCAATTGTACGAGACAAGCCTTGTACATTTTTTCCTTCAATTCTTAGTTTTATTATTTTACATATTTACTGGTTTACAATTTTGAAGAGTAAATATGCTCTCGAAATGAAGCTGCTTTTGGAGGCCTGGTACACTTTATGCAATAGCTGAAATTTCATTGCTCTGATAATTGAGGCAGATTAAGAAGAATGCAGAAGGTTTTCCTGAAAAATGCACCACGTAAGGGAATACTTGCCTTAGTTTAGTGTAATTGTGTATCTGCCTAGTCTTAATCTGGTCAGGTGTTCTGATAGGTTTTCAGATATCAAGGAACTACTGTTTTCTTATTCTTTACCGACTTGATGTTGTATATACTGTAATCACTAAAGTTCTCTCTTCTCCCTTCTGCTTTTCTTTACAGGTGCTCCCTGACTCTGTCCTTGCCACTTTTTTGTTCCCTTATAGAATTACTCATTTCTAGCATTGGAAGTTGGTGGCATTTTGCTGTAGAGGTCATACCTAGCTTTATGTCTCATGTTTCATGCTCTGAACTTTCACCTGTCTGCTTAAACTGAGTCAGATTCATTTGCTCACAACTTCCACATAGCGAATGATTCAAAGACTGAAGCTGCCCTTGAAATTCTGTCTTTGGGAAGCCCCATAAAAACAGAAGTATCATACATTCTGTCTCAGTTTATCTGCAGTTGTCAATGAAAAGGCTTTTGAGGTGATTTTTCACTATTACATCTATTAATATTCTCAAGATTATTTTTTTTCTGACATATTCTTCTACATTGTATTTCATGCTTCTTGGACTAAAAGGATGAAAATGTAACTGCTGTCCAGGAAGCTGAGGAGGAAGTAAAAAAGACAGATTTTGCAGTGCAAGTATGTAAAATTATATTCAGTTTGATTTTGTTTTCTTTTCCTTTTAAGAAAGGTACTATTTTGAGTGATATATGTTGGCCCTTATTTCAGAGCAAACGAGAAATACTGAGAAGATTAAATCAAAATCTTAAAGCTCAAGAAGGTGAGGAAGGAAAAAAGGAGTGTAAAAATATCTCTGAATCAGCTGAGTCTGAAGATTGTAAGGAACAACAAGAAGGTGACCATCCACTTCTAGGAGATCGCAAAAAATGGGAGTCTGGGGCATCTGAGTTGGTTGTTCCTCTAGCTCAGTTATCGATGGAAGATTCTCTCTCTGGAACAGACCGTAAGTACTTCTTTTTGTTTGTTTGTTACCGTGATATTAGTAAATCAGTTTACCATGCATAGTGTCTGTTTTTTATAAAGCAAGTACTCTTTATTATTATCAGCTTGTTATGAGTTGCATGTCATCTGTTTTAAAAAAAAACAGGTGGCTGTGTTCCCTGGGATAAGGAATGAGGCACAGGCTGAGTAATTAATCAGTAGAACAATAAAAAATGAAGGTTTTCACAGTTTGTATCTGTTACTTCTTAGCTTTTTTCTTTTTTTTAAATCAAGCCTGTCTTTGCAAATGTTCTCTCTGCCTCCTCTGGTCTTTCAGGTGGAAGACCTTTTTCCTGGTTTCAGTGTGCCTATTAACAGTCTGTTTCACATCATAGAAATAAATAATCATGGAGAATGTGACAAATTTACTTCATAGCATCGTAGTTTTACACGGCTAGGATGTTAGAAGATCAAGAAACTTCTTTTGCTCTATTCTTATTTTGTTGCTTTATATCCTCTGTTTTCCTTGGAGAGAGAAATAACAGAAACAAATGTCAAAGGATATCAGGACAACAGACTTTCTAGTTTCCCATTTCAGGTAAAGTTAAGACCACCTCATGCCAGTTTTAAACATTTCTCATACTGTTTTCTTTTGGAGTGCCTGAATTGCTGAAAAGATCTCCTGGTGCTATTAAGTTGCAGATGTTAACTGGCATTGAATAACTCCGGTTGTTAAATGGAATTAGCAGAAGAAAAACTTTAGACTTTTGAGGACAGTCTTTAGGCTGTCTGACTTGGGGTGAGGTGGCATGAGCCTGGCTTTCTAATTTTTAGTTTTGTGGAGGTTGGTTGGTTGTTCATTATATAGAAAGTGAATAAAAGTTTCCGATTTCTAAAAGTTTCTTTATTTGTATTTGTGTTCCAACAGGACAAACTCTGGGGGAAGTAATTAAATTAGATATTGGTGAACCCCACAGGAAAGTCTGGGGCAAAAGCCCTACTGATTCAGTCCTGAAGATCCTAGGAGAAGCAGAGTTGCAGCTGCAAACTGACCTACTCGAGGATCTAGATGTAATAAATGGTAAGCATAGCTGGTAATTATCTGCACTGCAAGTGTTGGATGTGCCCGCTTGCCAATTTGTCTACTGAAAACCAGTTTGAAGTCATAAAAGCATATTCTGTCCTCACTCCTCCTTTCCAGTTCTGGATGTTGCCTTGTTCTAAATGTTCTATATGTCAACATAAGCTGATACTGGAAGATACCAAAATATTTCAAACTCAGTGAATTGGTAAGAAATTAAGAAGGACGTGCTGAAAGGGAAGGATCTTTGTTTTGTTGAAAAGTCTTGGACTTTGCTTATTGATAGAAACAAGTCTGGTTTTTAAAAGAACGTCATCAACTGAATATTGTATTACATACGTCCTATAACCTTCTTGTTAGCATGTGACTTACTGTATCAGTGGATTTTTTTTTTTTGCTGGTCAGCTCCTGCTTTTTGTTCTTTCCAGGGACAAGACTTACGTTTATCCCAAGTATAAACTTGTACTAATGATAATCATAAAATCATAGAATTGTTTAGGTTGGAAAAGACCTTTAAGATCAAGTCCCACCATTAACCTAGCGCTGCCAAGTCCGTTACTAAACTGTGTCCCATCTACATGTCTTTTAACTACCTCCAGGGATGGTGACTCAACTATTTCTTTTTCCTAATATCCAATCTAAACCTCTGCTGGTGCAGCCTGAGGCTGTTTTCTCTTGTCCTGTCGCTTGTTACTAACACCCACTTTGCTACAACCTCCTTTCAGGTAGTTGTAGAGAGTGATAAGGTCTCCCCTGAGCTTCCTTTTCTCCAGGCTAAACAACCCCAGTTCCCTCAGCCGCTCCTCATCAGACTTGTTCTCCAGACCCTTCACCAGCTTCATTGCCCTTCTCTGGACACGCTCCAGCACCTCAATGTCTTTCTTGTAGTGAGGGGCCCAAAACTGAACATAGTATTTGAGGTGTGGCCTCACCAGTGCCAAGTGCAGGGGGACAATCACTTCCTCAGTCCTGATGGCCACACTGTTTCTAATACAAGCCAGGATGCTACTTGACTGCCTTGGCACACTGCTGGCTCATATTCAGCCGGTTGTCAACCAACGCCCCCAGGTCCTTTTCTGCTGGGCAGCTTTCCAGCCACTCTTCCCCAAGCCTGTAGCATTGCATGGGATTGTTGCGACCCAAGTGCAGGACCCGGCACTTGGCCTTGTTGAACCTCATGCCATTGGCCTTGGCCCATCGGTCCAGCCTGTCCAGATCCCTCTGTAGAGCCATCCTACCCTCAAGCAGATCAACACTCCCACCCAACTTGGTGTCAGCATTGGTAAAGATACTAAACAGAACTGGCCCCAATACTGAGTCCTGGGGAACACCACTTGTGACCAGCTGCCAACTGGATTTAACTCCATCCAGCACAATTCTTTGGGCTCGGCCATCCAGCCAGTTTTTACCCACCAAAGTGTACGCCCATCCAAGCCATGAGCAGCCAGTTTCTCCAGGAGAATGCTGTGGGAAACAGTGTCCAAGGCTTTACTATGGTCTGGGTTGGCAACATCCACAGCCTTTCCCTCATCCACGAAGTGGGTCAAGTAATGTACCAAGTAAAATTCAAATTTTAATATTCTATCTTTCCTCTTCCTAATAGTTATCATAAAAGCATGAAAACTTTTGTATTCTGTTTTCCTTTAAAGAAACAAGATTTCTCAACTCACCTTGTAGTCGCATTGTAGTTTATTATCAAACTGTGTCAAAGCACTGTTTAAATAATAGAATAATTTTGTGTTAGGTACTGCAGAACCTCTTGAAGGAGATCATCAGTCCGTAAATGTAAGAGAGGAGAAGGAAGAGAAAGCTCTTCCTACTGTTGGAGCTCAGTCTTCGGTACCAGTTGGTATCACAGAGTCTGACACAACTATGCCAGAAGAACCTAAAAGAGCTGGACCTACCCAGGTGCAGAGCAAACCTATTATGCTGGATGGTAAGTAATTTCATTAGTAATCCTAATTACAATTTGTTTTCCAATTTAAGAGGGAAGTAGTGATCCTGTATACTTTTATGTTTTCCCATAAGTAACGTGCAGTTTTTTATTTACACCTTTTAAGTAGAACCAAGTGCTTTCTATGCCTGTGTGTAATTTGATTGGCTAAAGTATTTTGTAAATTTCCAGAGACCTTTTTTGTGTGCTTATAGAAAACTCTCTAGAATACAAGTGGAATTCTAAAGTGCTTCAATTTTGTTGTTGATGTTGAAGTTTTTGTTTTATTTCTCCCCATCAATTGTGCTAGAATCTCTTCCACTGTGTGATAACAGCACCCTGCTGACATCTGGGTCAATGTTACTGAAGTTTTTAGAAGATGTAGTTTGTTGGAGCTTGAAGACACTTTTCTTGTATCAGAAACAAACTTTTAGCTCTGCGGTGACAAAACTTCAGTTGCTTCTGCAAAATGCAGAAAATAATTAAAGCTGAAGGATTTAAGCGTAATCTTAAGATGTATAGTCTCTCCTGTATTTTTGTTTGGTTGTGATTCATTTTTAATGAGGTATATGACTATTAATTTTAGAGCCTGATGATTTGGAAGCAGAGATGTTGGAAGAAACAGAAGAAGGTAAAAAGCACCAGTGTGAGGAGAATAAGGAATTTCCCTTTGCTGTTAATGAAGTGTGGGTAAAAGAGAAAGAGGATAAGTAAGTACTCTCTTCTGATCCCTCTCTCTCCAGTTCAAACAAGTAGCTTTAACTGAGTTAGAATTTAAATACATGAGTGAAAATGGTAAGCTTAGCTAAAGGTTCATTGCTTGTTTGCCTTGTTAGTTTTACTGCACTTGATGGCTGAGGATTTTTTTCAGTAGAATAATGGCTATTTTTACATGGTGTTTCCCCTGGATGTGGTATTTTATAATAGGGCACAACATGACAGAAGAAATGAGGCAGCTTCTGAGAAAGTAGCGCTTGACAAGGTTCAACCACAAAAGGAAGCTCCAGAAGGTCAGTTGAATTCTGTTGTTTTGTTTATTGTAGCTGGCAGTACGGAGTGCTTGAGCTATCCCTTCTCACTTCTTCACTATCCCCCAAAGAGCAAGCTAATGATAATCTTTTATCTTTATTGCATGGAAGAATTGCTTGCTCTTGGAGGCTTTTGAAGTAACTTCAGAAGGTCCGCGTATTTTACAGTAGAATAGAAAATACATCAGCAAGACTGTCAGGTATCATTGGTGATGCTATTGCATCTATTTATGGGTAGATTAAGCAAACTAGGGTGGTTTTTTTGCCAGTGTTTGGGCAAATTATGTTGAGGTAGCTTTGAAGAAATCTAGTATAAGGCAAGAAGCAACAGATGAAAATGGGTGACAGCGTTATTTAAGGCATGGACCGGATAACAAGAAACTAGAAGGCATGAGAACAGAATAGGCTATAGCTATTCTCAACAAGTTAAAATGGGAGAATTTCATGTTAAAATGTGTTTACTAAAATAATCCAAAGATATTTTAATACCCTTACAGTGCTTTAATTGTACGACAGAAATTAGTTAGTTTTACTGACTTTAGTTAGCTTTTGCTTAAGAACTTGGGGGTTTCAATCTATTTAGATTGTTAACAGACTTACTTCTGCCACATCAGAAACTTGTTCCAGTGACTGTCTGCAACCTGAACCGTTATTCCAGAGGGTGGCACAGCCCCCGTCTGTTCCAACAGCCTCACCAGTTCTGTCAGCTCAATCTTCACAGGAAGATCCTTTCACACCTCGGTCACGTTCCATATCGCCAGCAAAAAATAAAGGCCAAAATTCATTGTTGGTTGGACTTTCTACAGGACGGTTTGATGCAAATGACCCAAAGGCAAGTTTAAAAAAACAGAAAAGGAATACTTTTATTTCTATAGTACTAATACACTTATTTTCTTATTGAGAGCAGAGGGTGTAACTGTTTCAGCAGGTGTTTGTATTTGTCGAGCTACGTCTGTCCTGCATTCATTGTATCAGCAGGACTCGGGCAGCGTTGAGAGTTGCTGGTTTCACCATTCAGCATTCATTCTGTGTCCAGGTGTTTGTGGAGGAATGCCCCCACTTCTCTGAGACATAACAGGGAGTTCACGAGGAGATTCTTAACTTCCCTATCTGCTTTCTCCCTCTTGTGCAGTTTTTCAGACTTGCCGCTGCCATCATAAACACCAAACAGATCAGCAAAGGTGTATTGTAATTTCTGGCAACACGGTGATCAGGTCTTTTTTCTGTTGGATTTACCCAACTAGCACAGGCTCTGCCTGCGAAGCAGGAAGACTGAAGAGAGTGAATGGAGCTAACTGCTTCCTTGAAGGCATGTCCTGACCAGGGCTGAGTGGCAGCTCGCAATCTGTGAAATGAGCATAGGATGGGGGAATGTGGTTTTAATATGAATTCAAAATACTTTACGAGCAGTTATGGAATTAGTAGATGAAACAGACTTCTTTAAACTATGTGCAATACTTGCCTGGGTTCCAAAGTGCGTAAAAAGAGCTGCTTTCTGGAGAAAGAAGGTTGGCAAGGGATCTCTGGAAACTTGCACACCTGTGTTGCATTCAGTCAATATGTAGTAAAGGATTTCCTGGGTGGTGCAATGCCAGATAAGAAAGAATATTTTTTCTTTTGACTCCCAGCCTTTTTTTGTGAGTGCCTGAAAGAAGTTGCAGTACTTGAATAACTGAATATTGGATAATATCTGTTGGTTGATGCATTGCTAGCATAATATCGGGATAATGCTGTTTGCATCTTTGGAAAAATAAGACTTCTTTGCAGGCTTGTATCTGTTTTCCAAGATCCGTATATTAACATAAATGGATTCATTACTCTAATTTTAATTCCTTAAGAGTTAGTCTATCGTTAACTTCCCTAGTTTATGAAGCTTTTATCTGGTAGTTGGATGATAATTACAGAAAAGCTAACTTGTTAGTAGAGGGAAGATGAATGTTCTCTGTACCCTTATCAGGTTTAGAGAGTAATGGATACGCTTTATAATTAAGTTATTCAGTGTATCAATATGAATTGCTTCAGTATGTTGCTTGTTACGGCATATTTGGCATGCATTTTGGCCACATTTGTCACAGAATTGTTAATGCAGTAGCAGATGAGCTCTACGTAATAGAGAACTTGGAGAAAGGCAAGGGGTGTGTTGGTGGTACTGCTGCAGAAGACTTGAAAGAAAGCAACAAATTCCCTTTCCTCATTTGGTTGCAACAAAAGGAAGTTTGGTACTTCTTTGCAGTATCTGCAAATGTAACTTGCTGGAATCTCCCAAATACACCTCTGCTGCAGCTCATACCCAGAAACTAAGGAAACCTTTAGCAGGCAGCGGGGCAGACAGAGTTAGCGTTCTATAGTGTAGACAGGCCTGTGTGCTAACAGAAGCAGGCTAATTGGAAAAGCAGCGCTTTTCAAAATACCTGGAAATCAAATGATGGGGTGGTCAGTCTTCTAATTGTTCCTTCACTTTGGTAGTAGTGGTCAAAAAGAGTGGTTACTCCTTTGGCAATAATATTCTGGCCATGTGCTGAGAGGGATTTGATATTTGAGCATGTATATGTATATAAATTGCAGCTGAGAAACTATTTATTTCATTAAAATATAGGGGGGTTCCTTAGGAGCAAACACTGAACATGCATGTATTCAGAGCTATGCTGGAGGAAGGTGAGGCTTATTGGCAAAACTTCTTTCTGCGGCTTAGGTCTTGTTTCTTGTTTTATTAATACTATGGTGAATATTTAGTAGTTGGGGGGGATTCTTAGTTGTTTGGTTTTTTTTTTTTAAAGAGAGATCTGGTAGATTATTGAGCAAATTTGTTTCCATCTTGCTTTATTTCTGCTGCAACAACTTACTGTTGTAATTTGAACTTCTAATACTACTTGTAATGATCTTCTTTCTAATACTATGGAGCTGCCTTGAAATATACCATAACAAAAGTTACTGTTTTCAGTGACCAACTTAGAGAAATAATAAAATGTCGTTTTAAAAAATATTCCTTTGTCAGCTACTTAAAATGGTTCTAAGCGGTAAGTGATTGTCATGAGTACATTGTAAAAGATTGCATATATTTTTTTTTCCTACTGCAACATTCCGTTACTTTAGATAGATGTTAAGGTAACAAACAAATTGCACAAAACTAGAAACTGTATGTCAGTTGATGTTCTTAAAGCTTTTCAATCACTAATGAATGCTTTCCTCGCAGCTGAGAGGCAAAATTCAAGATGTAAAATTTTTAACAATTAAAGTATCTGTGCTAGACACTTTGTTATTTTGAAATTGACCCTCAAATGAAAAAGGACAAAAAAAAAAATCTCATTTTAAAGTATTTTGTAAAATCAGACTGTCTTTAGTGTTGTTACCAAAGAGGCTTTCTATTACCTTTGCAGATGTTGAGAACATGTTCGCTCCCGGATCTTCACAAACTGTACAGAACTTTAGTTGATGTTCCCAGTGTAGCAGATGTGCAGCATCAGCATAATCTTGAAATAGATGATACGGAAGATGAGCAAGCCAAAGAAGGACCCTCTGATTCTGAGGATATGTGAGTGTATCAAGTTTATCAAGTGTTTCGACAGCATCTTAGATCAAAAATATTTTTGGTTAGACACTAACAATTACACACAGTATACCAGCATGGGGGTTCTACCCCAATTTTAAGAAACCCTGTATTGAATCACCGTTTACTTTGAGTCTTGTTCCAGAGAACTGAGAAGCTAATGGGATGTAGTGCTTACAATAGCTGTCTGAATTTCCTTTCCAAATTCCATCCAAGATGCTGTTCTGTCTGACTTCTGTGCCTTGCATTCCTCTGCAGCAGATCAAAGTTGATGGTACCACTCTACTAGAATTAAAGATTTCTTATATTTCTTTTCTTGGTATGTGGTGGGAATCTCACTCATCTTCTACTGTTGTATTGGGATGTCCTTCAGGTCCCCCAAATACTTTCAGGGTCTTCAAAATTTGACCCTGGCTCTTGACTGTTCCCTGCAGCGTGGGTAGTCTGCAAGGATAGAGTCATCTGCTGTATCTATTCTGATAAAATCTAGATCTCTTTTTGCTCCAGTCTCACTTCAGTCTGGATTGGGAATGTTATGCTTGCCTAGGTTCTATAATGGTGCGCGAGTACAAAGATTTTGAAATTATCTTACTAACTAAGATATAGGAGGATATACAGAGGACCTGTCGTCATCTTTCTACAAAGCGGTCTGATGTCTGTTTAGCTAATCTTTATTCTCAGTGTCTTGCGTGATACGGTGGTATCAGTGCTGTAACCGTGTTGGACTGAGGATGCAAATATTTGTGTCTTTTTTTTTTTTTTTCCTCCAGCTACATTGGTTTTCCAGTTTTTTGGCTTAATAAAAGAAATGAGCTCTTCCTACAGGGTTTGTCTTGTAAAGTATTAATTATATAACCTTTATATCACTTTCTTTTAGTATGTTTGGGGAGGCAGATACAGATTTGCAGGAACTCCGGGCCTCAATGGAACAATTGCTTAGGGAGCAGCCTAGTGAGGAATTCAGTGAAGAGGAGGAGTCTACTTTAAAGGCTAATGTTGTCAGATGCCTAACAAACGGTACAGAGCTGGAGGAAGGCGACGAAAATAACCCCAGCAGTGAAAGTGCACTTAATGAAGAATGGCAGTCAGGTATAACTTCTATTATACCTGTTTTCAAAGTTATTTATTGATTTTTAACAATTCAAACACAGAAGAATGTTTTTCCGTTGTATACTTATAATGAAATAAAACTCTAATTAATAGTATTTATATAGAAGTTTAAAAAAATCAGATAATATTTAGACTTTCTGAATGTTAAGGTCAACATCTCAGCAACATTCAATGTTGCATATTAAATGTTGGCTATTTGTTAGGCAGTGATTATAAGCCACTTTTTCTTAGTTGTCTAAAACTTGTCTTCAAGGAAGATCAAAGACTGTGCACATCATGTGTTTTGAATAATTCATGACTGCAATGTAAGAGTGAAAAAGAAATGGCAATTGAGATGACTGGAGTATCTGGGATCCAGCTTACATTACAATTAAGTAATTTAACAGGCAGTCAAAAGGAACATGAAATTGTTAACCTTGTCCTTACCCCAAAATAGCTATTAATGCAGTCGAACTAAAAATAAGACAGAAAAATTTATTACTGCTTTTAGCATTTTGCATAAGCTATACACAGTGGTGTCCTCAAGTCTCAGTTCTGTTGTTTAAATTGTGGTTGAAATATACGTATTTTACTACTGCTGTAAAACAAAGTGCGTTTAGAAATATAGGTATTAAAAAAAGACTTATAAAATCAATAAGTCGTCTGAAACACAGCTTTTGTGTAATCTTGGTTTATTGAAGACAATTTTAGACAAATTGAAAATCTGTGAATATTCCTGTAAGATATTTTCTATACTACGTTCCAAAAAGTATTTTAAGGTAAAATAAACTTGGGTAACACTGTCTTCTTTCATTTTTTGACAATGCTGATGTTTTCCACCTCAGAAATATGTGGAATAGTTATGTGGAACTTGACCTACTAACTTTGCTTTGGTAAATAAAAGCCTGCTTTCACACCATACCTTATTTTCCTTCAGTACACATACCCTTATGGCTAACTATCAGAGTGGGGTTGTAGAGGAGATAGCTAGATCCTTCCCATTTGGGATTCAGAATTTCTTTGCTGTCAAGAAAGGGACTGTTCCTGTTTCCTTACAGGTTGTTCAGAACATCTGCCAACATCATCTTGTGTTTCTGAAATTACCCACTTCCATTATGTTTAGAGGTCTGTGGGGATATCAAGTTTTGGGACATGGAAACAACATTAAGAATGTAGGAAAACTGAGGGGGTTTTTACTGTGTTTTCTTTCTTTATAGATAATAGTGATGGAGAGATTGCCAGTGAATGTGAAGAATGTGATAGCATCTTCAGCCATTTGGAAGAGTTGAGATATAACCTGGAGCAGGAAATAGGCTTTGATAAATTCATTGAAGTTTATGAGAAAATAAAGGTTTGTGGAATAGCCTCAAGTGGAAAATATTTTAAGAAACAAGATAAATGTACCTAGGGCTGTTTACTGTGCCAGTAACTAATTGCATTGTCTGACTGGAATCAGTGCTTATTTCTTTAGTCTTTTACTCTGTTTCAACATGCGAAAATACTAACAGAGAAAATACCATGTTGGTGGATTAAAGAGAAAAACTTTTGGGTTTAACCGTGAATTGCATTTAATAAATTTGAATTATTTAATTCTATACCCATTTTAATTTTGGCAACATGGATTGTCCTTTCTCCCAGGCTATACATGAAGATGAAGATGAAAATATTGATATTTGTTCAACCATAGTTCAGACTATTCTTGGAAATGAACACAAACACCTGTATGCCAAAATACTTCACCTAGTAATGGCAGACGGAGCCTACCAAGAAGGTAATCTCTCTGTAACCGGGCAATTATGGCTTCTCTTATGTTCTTTCTTGGGCATATACAATAGGTTCCAATATACTTTTAAAACATATCTGTGCTTTGCTATATTGATTGGCTAAATTGAAAATACAAATGGACAATTGAATACGAATTGAAATATAAAGGGTACTTTTATTCCTGCAACAAAACATGGCAAACTTTGACTAAGCATGCTGACCACTCTGATGTAACAGTTTGCACATATAGTGTCAATTGTAACAATAGTCATCTTACGAAAGGTGCAGTATAATTATTTAATGTCTGTAAAACAGTTATGCAGATCGGGTAGGTGGAAGTCTAGAATAAAACTTTCAAAATTAAAAACAATTTTATCTTAAGAATTAATGAATTTTTAGCTAAAATAATGTCGTTCTTTCCAAAACCTTTACTCTTAACGGGTTGCAGTATCACTGCTTTTCTGGAAAGAAAATTTCATGTGGCTCTTTATCCTATAATTGTCATTTTTCAGAAGAACCTGACATGGAGGTACCATTCATCCTAGTTTTCAGGTGGCTCGGTAATACATGAAGAGCATTTATCTTGCTTGGGAGCCCCGCCTAGTTTAACACAGATTACTGGGCAGACAGATGGTTTCTAGATCTTTGAGTCACTCTATGAAACACCACACAGACTAGTATCAATGAGAAGGTTTTTTTCCTTTCATGTCAAAAATTTAACTGTAGCTATGTAATTTTAAATTTCTAATGATGAAAGTCTTTACTGGAAAGAAAAAAAAGCAAATCTAAAATCTCAATTATTTTTATAGGAATCAGAAGCATTATGTATTTGTTTTAGAAATGTGTGCAATGATCACTGTTTAACGTATTTCAATTTTGAAAAAATATTCTAATGCATTCTAACCAACGTCTTTTTTCTGCATCTTTTAAATTCTTTTACAAATGCGTTGCAATAGCAGTGACTATAGGGTCAAATAAGATTACTGCTTGCTATGATTTTTATATGTAAATGCTTGGGGGGTGTTAAAGAATTTCGCCAGGCTGTGGGTACCTCTAGGTTTGCTTTATTAACAACTCAGAGTTGGGCCATCACCTCAGTGAGTGGCCCGTGGCTAACAAAATACATCTTCTATACATATGATTCTACACAACATTACATAATTGGTATTTCTGTCTGGCAAGCTCTTAATGTTTTCTTTAAAGTCTCCCAGTTCTTCATTCTTCAGTAGTTCCAAAAGTTCATTAATTTTCATCTGACTCTTATCGTTCCATTCCAGTTCCTCTTCTGAAGTTGGAGCTCAATGGTCATATTATCTTTAAGCACCTGCATTCTATTAACCTTATACAATTACATCTATTCTTCAACCATTCTATGATTATTCTCAAAATATATATATAAAAAAATCTAACAAGGCCTAAGTTACTTAAATCACTTAAAAGCTTATTCTTTTATAATTGCTTTTTTCTTTTACAGGGGGGAAGTCTTAAAAACTAGTTTGAAAAAACATAATAATTAAAAAAAAAAAATCTGATACAAATTACATTTTCCAAATTTTCCTTTGCTACTGACATAGAACTACTCAGTAAGAATAACCAGGACCATGTTGTTTTCATGCTGTGTTATAGAAGAATGACATAAAAGTGTCTGAAAATTATTTTTTCAACCACAATTTATTGGTTTAACAATAGAATTGGAAAGATATATTGTAGTAATTCACTTTTCAAGTATCCAAAGGACTGGCAATATAGAAAAAAATGGCAACTCTAGTGTTACTGGTTTCTTTTCCTTGCCACTTTGCCTTAAGGATATTTAAAACTTGTACTAAAAGGCTTAAATGACAATTTGCTGAAATGTTGGCCTACAAATTGGAAGCTGTTGTCTGGGTGAATCCTATTAAAATGAGCTGACTTTCATCTTGCAAAATGCTGATTAGCAAGTGGCTATTTTCAGTAGCTTCAGTTCTAATTCTGTATTTTACAAAGCTGTGGTAGCATACAAAAATGTAAAGAAAAAGTAGTTCTTTACATTTCAGACATTTAAAGTACATGTAGTACTTTAGTCATAAAGTACATAAAGAACTACATTTAAAGCAGTTCTTTAAATTTAAGACATTTAAAGAAAAAATCCTGTGCTAATAAAGGTGAAGAGAGGACAAGTGACAGCAGAAGCATGTTCATGAGCTTCTGTCTCAAAGATTTTATACTCTTCAACTAAGAAAAATTAGGAAAAAAATCTGTATTGCTCTGTAAGAGGATTGTTCTGACTGCATCAGGCCACTTGAGATGAAACTATCTTAAATTCACTAATCCAAGAAAGAGGACATGTTGTTCAGTATCTGTACACGTAGTGCTTTCAAGACAGTTTGGATAATGGTCACCTCCTCGGTGACTGACTTAGTGAATTCTTGTATTATTACTTACTAAATTGTGGTTTCTAGTTTGTTTTGTAACCCCAGCTTGATTGTGTGTGGCTGTTACTCCTCTTCACCCTGTCTCTCCCCCTCTCCTCCTTTTTACAGATAACGATGAATAAACCCAACTCAGGAAATCCCTTAATGCTGTACTACATATCAAAGTTTGAAGTCTGCACAGCTGAATAACAAATTGTAGCGGAGAATGTAACATGGGGCAGGAGAAGCAAGACTTCGAAAAAGAATGTTGATTGTATGAAAAAGAGGAAAACCATGCCTTTTAAAACTGAGATACCTATACACTTCTCTTATGTGTACTTGCATACGTGTTCATTAAATATTAGATGCCCAAAATTTAAAAAACAAAAAAACCCAACCCAAAACAACAACAAAACACACACCTCAAAACCTGTAATCTCTCAAATTCCAAAAGAAATACAGAAAGAAATATCTGTAGATGCTCTGATACAAAACTGAGACCTATAATTTAAAACATAGTTTCTGCCATATCAGCAGTTGACCGGTACGGTTAAGCAACTGGAAGCATAACTGTGTTGGGGAAGTACCCACATCTAGCTATTCTTTTACATACTTCAAGTAGCTTCTCTTTCCACCTACATAAAGAAATTACTTCATTTTTATTGACCCTCGTGGTTGTGTTTTAATAGCATCTTAATCTAGTGGTCCAGTCTGAGTATTTCACTTTTTTTCTTAATAAAAAAAAAAAAAATTGTATTTGAAGCTGAAGGCTTCTGTCAATTTTTAAGTAGGGTCATCTGAAATATCTTAATGGTGTTTCTAAATGGAGGCAAACTGGTACTTCAGTCATCATTGAAATGTCTGGGGTTTTTTGAGAGTGTAAAACTCATTTGGAGCTAGAATACTTTTCCCCAGTATGCTTTCTTCCTCAACCCCTTCCCAAAATCCCAAGTATTTAGTTCTTTTGAATTTTGTAATCTGGTCAATGAAAGGAGTGGGTTTTTTCCAGTTGTTTTTAAATTCTTACTGTTACACTCATGGCTCCAGCAGCCATGGGGGAAAATGAAATATTGCAGGCACAAGTGCTATGTAATACTTCTCATCTTTTGGCTCATGTTTTGTAGCTTGATTTCCACCACCCCAAAAGAAAAACCAGGTCTCCTGACCCATGTTTCCTTGTTCCTTCTGTGAAAGCGGTACTATGCAGGACAGACATTGGGTATGCTGTTGTTTTCCAGTCATGTCGGAACGGCTTTATTGGCTTACACATACAGTAAGTCTCTTGTTACAAATCTGATATACTGTCAAATTTCCAGCTGCCCTATTGGAGAAAAATAGCTACAGCCAGTCACAATCGAAAACTGGCAAAAGTTACCTTTCCACAAAGTAAAATCAAGTATATATATGTATTACTTAGAACTGTCAAAATATGTACATGATTTTTTGTATAATTGTTTTATGGTGGTGTTATTAAAGTTTTGCCCACAGAAAAGTGGTTTTTTTTTTTAAACACATCCAATTCTGAAGGGTAGACCAAACTTACTCTATTTCAGTTGTATCCCAGGAAGCTACAATGAGAATAAAATTAATAATCGTAAATGCCTTTATGTTAAATTTTTTATATCCTTATTTACTTGATAAACACATTTTGCTTAATCTGATGAGAAAGTCTGATCACTGTTGGAAACAGTGCTGGTTCTATCCTATGCTGCTTCTCTTATTCCCCTTCCTTTTTTTTTTTTAATTCCCACCATAAATGTTGGGGCTTTCCACTAGGCTTCTCTTCCACTTTTCACTGCTGAATAATCTGTTCAGAGAGATGATCTTTATAAGCTGCATCATCGATGACATTTAGCAAATACACTAAAGACTTTATTAAAGAATAAGTGTGCATTATTTCCCATTTTCAGGTTTGCTTTTCAAATCATACCTTGCCCACCTTTTGGGGGAAGGGAGGACCCAAAACCTTTAGATTTAAAAGAATATAGATTAACCATATGGAAAGAATAAAATACACCCACTGGTATATTGTGCGCTCTATGGTTTTGAATTTTATCAAGGTGATACAGTCTTACTGAAGTTAAGGGGTGGGGGTGTTTAATTCTTTTTAAATTGAAATCATATCATTGACAGTCTTCATTTCTTATGCAGTGTGCTGGTGTGCTTCAGGTAAGAGAAATAGACATAATCTGCATCCTTCAAGCTTTACGGACATAGAGCTCTTTATCAATTAATGATTTGAAAAATATGCATAGATTGTGCACAGCTTTTCAAGAATAATCTTCAAACCTGCCAACCGATACTGGATATCCTTGAAATCCCTCAAGAGCTAATTTAAAATTGACACGGTAAATAAGTTTCTCTGCTAAAGAAATACTTTTATCTGAAATTTTAAATCCCCAGTTAACATATGCTGTAATGACATGAAGGACAGTGTGACTTCAGGATGATTTATTGGTCTGTATGTAATAACTTACTGAAATTAGTTGATTAAATTAGTTGAGCATTTGGCTTGTATTCACATTGCATTCACTATAAAGAATTTTCTGTTGTAATTCTAGTAGTGAATTGAGATATAGAATGATATTTTTGGCACAAAACATATTCTGTAAACTATTTCATATTATATCCCTGGCCTCAGTCTGTCGTCTTGACCCCTGAAGCCAACTGTAGTTGTTTTCAAAAAAGAAAAACAAAATGCTAACAAACAAAAAACCACACATACAAATGCCAGAAAACCCAAACCCATGCTGCCCCGACTGTGCTGCCCTGCAGCCATGGTTGTAGTCTGTGACACTGGCCTCTCCTGGCTAACTGTGCCATTTGTAGCCGTACGTATGCCTTGAGTTTTCTGAACTGCAACAGAAAGGAGTGGAGAGAATGTGTCCTCGTGGCCTGGGGTGGGAAGATGGAGCCTCAACTGCTGCCTGGCTTTGCTTTGAGCTGAGCGGGTACAGTAACCCTACCCCCAGCACTGGTGCCTAAAATCTTTTTCGAAGAACGGAGCCTGGAGAGGCTTTTGCTCTTCAGTTTGTTGAACTCTGAGTGTTCATATTCCTGACAAGGTTCTCGGCGCTCTTGCAGACATCTACAACATCTGTCAATAATTCTTATTCCAGCTTGTAGTGCTTCCTCTTGCTCTGATTTGTGCATAAATGCAGTGCGTTCACTCAACCAGGCGTTCTCCGCTAACCCTTTTGTTCTAAAGCTTTACAACCTTGCTTGAATCTGCTGGAAACGTACAAAACATTTTTGTAAGGGTCGCTTTGGGGTTTTTTTTGTCCGCATTTGTTTGTAGGGGAAACTACACCCTTTCAAAACTGTCGCCTGTCCTCAGCTCGAAGAGTTCTTAAAATAGCGTTGAGAATGTCACAGCCTCAGGTTGCTGAGGGGGCGGCGGTGCAGCCGTGCAGCCGCCAGGGGGCGCCATGACGGCGGCAGCTG